AAGGCAGGCACTTAAATACACGGATAACAAGGGCTAACAAGGGGCAAGTGCAGACCGTAACAAAATCAACCAATCAGTGAAGGCGCAGGACAACAAACAACATGTGGAAAAGTTACAATGAGCAAACACAGGAACTAGGAAACACTGAGAAACACTGAGGGCTAACACTAAGAAAGACTAAGAACATACGTACAATCGAAACAGAATTAAACCAGGCATGGGTAAAAACAAGGACACAAAGCAAAGACAGAGATAAACAATACCAAACACAAAGGATGAACCAAAAATAATTACACAACAGATGACTCATGACTGGATGGGTACAGCCTCTGAACTACACACTCAACCCATTGAGCTTTGCGGCAGCCTGGGAAGCAGGGAAACACACTAGGGGCTGGAGGGCTACAAGACAGAGAGGGAGGAAGCAGGATGAGCAGCAACACTGCTGGCCAAAAGGGGACATGACACATAGGACAGGGCTGGATGGACACTGACCCTGATACCTTAGCTAACGTCTACAAATAATCTCCTTGCATTAATTATTAGATTGACCACTGTTTTTTTTCATGTTTGAAAAATTCCCCAGACCTGGTAATGAATGAATGGATGGATGGTTCAGTAAATTAGCAAATGTTACAAAACAACTATCCCAGAACTACACATATGGTGACAGAGAGAACAAGGATATGTTTTATTTCTAATTTTTATTCAATGGAAAGTAAAATGTTTAATCTGTTTCTGATAATGTGACTCCTGTTACATATGGTTCTTTTACATTTTATTTTTCTTGTTTACTAGATGTTTTTATTCAAAACATCTTGTACATTTTGTCTAGCTGGATATAATATTGCAGCGAGACCCTGCTTGAAATTCAGTCCATTTTTAAACACTAGTTTAGTACCAAGTGTTCTCACATTTCACACAATGTCTGTATCATGGAGACAATGCTTGGAGCACAATAATGACAATTATGGTTATCCTTACAAAAGGCACCTTAAATAGTACACACTAAAATTCATGCTAATGGTAACACAGTTCCCATACTCAGCCCCAAAAAGATAGCCCTCTTTGTTCAGACTTGGGCACCCTATATAGCAATACATTAAATTTGAACATTTTGCATAATACTGTTGAATACATTATTTATGTATTATTATATGTTGACACTACATTATTATAATATAGTGTCAACCCCTATATGCCTCTATATTTATTAAAATACTATGGATCAAGCCCTTTATAAATATGCATTGCAATATCCACGGCTCCTTCATCAACATACAGTAGAGTTGTAAAGAACAAACATCCATCATCACTTAATCCCAACTTGGGTCACAGGGGGGACCGGAGCCTATCCTGGGAAGAAGGGCCAAAGGCGAGAACCAACCCTGGGCAGTCGCCAACACACCGCAGGGCACACACACACTGACAGGGCCAATTTAGACTCGCCAATCAATCTGCCCTGCACACTTTTTGATCATGGGAGGAAACCAGAGCCCCCAGCAGAAACCCACGCAAACAGCGTGCTAACTCCACAGAGAAAGGACCTGGGACCAAACCCAGGACCTTCTTGCTGTGAAGCAGCAGCTCTAGCCACTGACCCACCGAACCAACAAATATATTATAAGTAGACAAATATACCTTAAGAAGGCACTTATACATTTTGCTAAACCACCTGATTAAGTAAGATTGTAGCATAATTCCAAAAAATCCATGCTTTATGAAATTCTTTATTACCAGTTTCTAGCCATCTTTCCTAACTGCTCCCCCAGTATGGGGTGATGGTGAGTCTGGAGCCCATCCCAGCAAGCACAGAGTCTGTGGCTGTCTACCACAGGGCACACGCTCAGACACTATGGGCACATGGCTTCACAGAAGTGAATGTACTTGGAGGAAACCCCAAATACGTGCAGTCAGGCTAATTGGTGCCTGGGGAGTATGAGGGCACGGGCATCCCACCCAGGGCGTCCCCCAGCGCCAGGGCGTCCCCCAGCGGCCAGGGCGTCCCCCAGCACCAGGGCGTACCCCAGCGGCCAGGGCGTCCCCCAGCACCAGGGCGTCCCCCAGCGGCCAGGGCGTCCCCCAGCGGCCAGGGCGTCCCCCAGCGCCAGGGCGTACCCCAGTGCCAGGGCGTACCCCAGCGGCCAGGGCGTCCCCCAGCGGCCAGGGCGTCCCCCAGCACCAGGGCGTACCCCAGCGCCAGGGCGTACCCCAGCAACATACCCTGTACCACCTGCTGTAAAGCCCCAGCTGAACTCTTTGTATTAGACATTAACTATTCTGTGATTTTGTACTTGACGTCCCAGCGAGTGTTATTTGTAGTAGACAAATATGAGTATGTGTGTCAACGCTTGAGAGTTATAGAACGAATAAGCACTGAGCTACTGATGCTCAAACAACTGGTGGTATTACTACCAACCCTGGTCTCCCCTGTGACCGCTACCTTTAATTAAGCGTCTGCATGGTTTTATTGGTTGTTTTCTTTATTTTGTGTATTAATTGTTTAATTTAATTGTTGTTATATTGTTTATCAATGCAGTTATATTTCGTGTTCACTTCTGTGTGCTTCCTCACCATTTCCGAGTTTTATCGCAAGGCAGTTGAGCATGTCGAGCTGGGGTATAAATTTGTATTTTTGCAGTGATTAAATCTTCTTTTATTTAGTTTTCACTTGCTAACGGTTCCTTACACATGAACTTTATAATTGGGGTGTATCCAACTCTGTCATTTTTAATTGAAAGATTTGAATTGGCCCGTCTGTATGGATGGCCAATTACGGCGAACATTTTCCTTTGGGTCAAATTGTAAATGTACTTGCAGTCATTCTCAAACGACCTTTTAAAAATTCTTCCATGAAATATAGTCTGGGGATCCTATACTGTCAATATTGATGAGACAGAACAGAAATTGCACCAACAATTAATATCCAAAAACATGTGTTGATTTTTTTAAAGTTAATTTTTCAAACTGAAGTTTATATATATATATATATATATATATAAATAACATGCATATATATATATATATTGACACAGAAAATACTTAAACTTATTGTAGGTAACCTATGTTTTATCATCCATCCATCCATCCATTTTCTGATACTGCTTGTCCTATTCAGGGTCGCTGGGGTGGAACCTATTCCAGAGGCTATAAGGCAGGGAATAGCTCAAGATGAGGCGCCAACCCATCGAAGTCTATTTTATCAAATATAACTTATATAATATGTTGGGAAGGAAGAACCATAATTTGTTTTTAAAAATGGATAATCAATATATACATCTAGAATCCTGGATAGACTGACGGCTCACTCTCTCTTTTTTATATTATCTTTTTCTTTTTTTGGATGGGTAAATATAGCAGATTGATGCATGGACAGGGCCGGGTTTGTCTGTCATTACTCTGACAACATCTGATCTGCGGTGCATTCAGCTGTCACTCCAGCCCTTTCAGTCATATGAGGTCAAAGCTTTGTAGAATTACTGCCAAAGTGCAACAAATAGTGAGTTAAAATACTGTCTCTCGCCTCATCTGTAAAGGAGTATGTGCATGTAAATCCAGACCAAAACACTGGCATTATTTAGCATTGCGTAGCTCACTGATTTTGCCTGAGCCGCTTCCTGATTAGCGGACCAAAGAATGAGCATGTCATCCTCTGGAAAATAATGCTTCTTTCACCGATTCATGATAGATGATGCCCAGTCAAACCTCAGGACTGTGACCGTGCACAGCTATTACAGTATAAGTGCACCGTGTTACTGTACTAAGGACGTAATGTAGAGCTGTCGATTATTTCCTACAAGCGACCTTTCTCTGCCCTCAGAGAAAAAGAGATCCGCGTCAAGAGGCATCAGCCTCAGCTGCCTCAGTTCTTTGGTTAGTCACAGACTGTAAGAGAAGCATTTGGTGCTGATTAATTGTACCCAGAAGGAGCTGGAGGGAATCCTGGCGATTATATGGAAATGCAAATCATGAGATTCATCAGTACACACGCATAAAGCCTTTTGAAAAGACTTGCATCTAGAAATGAGAAGTCTTGCATGGGAACATATGAATTCCTCAAGGGGAATGCAAATGAAAGGACAGATTATTACATGGGTAATTTGCACCCTGCAATTTACAAGCAAACTTGGACATTTGCCACACTGCTGCTTTATGATGCCTTATTACCTTTATCTTCTGTTCGGTCAAAATTCTAAACATGCATAGGCATTTCGGTAACACTTAAGGACTTGCTTTTCGTAATTTTTAAACACATTCGTAACAAATAATATTGCGTTCATAAAGCATTATAAACATGGCTATAAATATGTATTAAAAGGCATAACATATTATAGACATATTTATTATGCATTATGAATGCTTCATGCAGCTATCATGCACTATAGACACCTTTATAATGCATTATAATGGTTGGTACAGTATAAGCATGGTTGGTACTGCATTATAAAGGTCCCAGTAGTGTATATATGTGATTATACCCCCCCACACTCGTTACAGACGCTCCTCGGGTTATGATGGTCCATGTTACGATATTTTGACTTTACAATGGGTAAATGTTTTTTCACTTTCAATACATTATTCAATAAAATTGAGATATTCAGTATTTTATTATAAAATAGGCTTTGTGTTAATGATTTTGCCCAACTCTACGCTAATGTAAGTGTTCTAAGCATGTTTTTAAGGTCGGCTAGGCTAGGATATGATGTTTGTTAGGTTAGGTGTACTGTACTGAAATTGAAATGCATTTCCGACTTACGATATTTTTGTTTTTCGGCAGGTTTATCAAAACATAACCCCATCGTAACCCGGGGGGAGGCTGTATGCTGTTTGTGTTGGATATTTACAACATGCACCGCTGTTTTGATGAGGTGCAGACGACGGACGCAGGAACATATACAGCTAGAAATTCTGAGCCCCCCCAACAAAATGTCACCTTCAGCCCCCTGCTTGGGTTGGCACTTTCAATTTGAAGAAATACTGGCCCCATGGGAGATAGAAGTTCCCCTTTGGTAGATTTTGTTCCCCCCCCCCCCGAATTGATCAGGGTATCCATGCCCCTCCAACACCCCAGGCTGGAGGCAAGAAGTGATTGAATTACGGTAGGAAACCTGACGCACTAAAACACTACTGAGAGCAATATGCTTTTTCTGGAGCAAAGATGTGTGGGGCTTCTCTGATAAGTGAGTAGAATTGTGGCTCTTGGGTCTGTAGAAAGTGAAAGGAACTACCGACTGCCTTAGTGAGGCTATGGGGGAAAGTTTGCTTGTTATTTTCCATAATAGTGAGATGTCAGAAGCTGTTCGCTAGGAAGTGTGCCAGAGTTTTCAGGGTGAGACAGGAGACGGCCGGTTGGGAACGATGCAGGTGTGTGAGCTCTTTTGGGAGATGATACTACAGAACACCTGAGCCCTGACCACCATAAAGAAGTTCTTTGTTTGTACTGCAATCATTGACTTGTAAACGGGTCCCTGTTGAAATTCCCTGGATGATGTTTATGCTTGAATGGTGTTTTGAAAAAATAAACTTGTCTTATCTGGTTCTGATGGTGGGATGAGGTTTTAGAAAACCATTTAACGAACACACAAAGAACCTCTAGACTGAAATGTCATGGCAGGACTCAAGGTTTGGTAAAACAAGTTATTTTGTTGTAAGATCAGATGAAGTACAGGTGCAAAACAGCGTGGATTAAACCATGGCCCTGAGAATGCCAAGTCTCCTGGCTGACGAACAAAGCAGGAAGCAGGGAACCATGAAACCTCACAGCTCCTGACTAGACAAGAGGTGCATAGGAAAAAGACTCAAGTGTGGATGGTTGCTGGAGAAGGGAGGTAATCAAATCCAGTGCACAGAATACAAAAAACACCAGTATGATCATCCATATGGACACAGACATACTACAGTACTTACTAAATACAGAAGACGAGGAGCAACTCTGTACTGTGGGAGCAACAAGACTGACCCCAGAGCAATATTTGCTGCTCAGTATATATTGAGTGTGTGACTTCTAGTATTGATTAAGTCGGAGGTGACATGAGTAAAAGAAGGGAATCTGGAGTCTTTAATCAAAGTTCTTATATTGAGCATTATTAAAGTCTTTAATGCAACATTTACAGCTGCTTAACCAAGGAACCTCTAAGTGATGTTAATACAGGTATTCTCTGTGGATATTAATACGGAGTGGCAACTATGCATTTTTTAAAGTGTGATTTACTATTGATTTATCAGAACCTGCATTTATAATACATTACTATATGGATTCATTTCTTTTTTAAGCAGTACTGTACTATTCTCCATAATTCCAACCAGACATTTGATTGCAAGGAAATAGAATTGATATTCAGAGGGCAATAATGGTACAATTTACTGTAGGTCCAATTTACTATTTTAAAAGGCAAATGGGAAATATAAATGACCAAACAAGGGGCATTTCATCAGGTACTGTCTCATCCGTTCGCAAGATAAGTGTTATATATGCAATAATTTTGATTCGCGGTGTAATTCTCATTTGCCTCTTTTTATGGACATTTAGAGTGAGAGCTTATTGCTTCATTAATAACCAGTTACTGGTTCATCATTATGCTGACACTCTCTGACCTGTTACCATCATCCTGTAGCATAGTGTCGTAAGATATATGCTGCATATCATGAGTTCTAGTTCCAGCCTTGGGGAAATGGGAAGCCAGAACCCGTCCCATGATATGGGAACTGGTTTGGCTTCTGCTGTCAGCATGTACATTTCATTGTGCTTGGCACCGTAGTAATCTCTCCTGGCATAACCGGCGTGCCATCTGCCCGACACATGCCCCTGCGTTCCAGCAAGAAGGAGCGGGCATCGGCGCAATCCAGAAACCAGACGACGGCAGTATTGGCAAAACAATCAATTACTGCATAACAGCAAGCCTCTTGTGTGGCTGGCTATAGGAAAATTGCACAGAAAAAATGGCCCATTGGCTACCAATATAGGTAATCCCTCACCAAGGCAAAATATCTTACGTGCCAGTTGTTTTCTAATGTTTCAGTGATGTGGTGTCACATGAAGTGAGTTTGATCAATTTCCATAATGCTACACTGCACCATAAAAAAAATGTATGTCATCAAAAGGGATTCATTTCAGAGCGTTCTCATAAGTTGAAAAACAGTAATATCTGCTTGCCTTTCATGCCTTATTCTTCGACTGAACCACTGATTCTGCTTTCAATCTTCAGGTACTCCTGGAGAAGAAAAGGAGCTGAATAGGTTCTGGCAATAATAGGGCAAATCCTTAATCCATCCATCTTCAGTATTACTTTTCCAGCAAGGGTTTCAATGCATAGAATAAATTATTTTTAAGATGTATTACATTTAAAATGTTGTGTATTGCCACACTATATATATAAAAAAAACAGAAATAGAAACTTGTTTAAGAAGTTTACACAGGTGCATATAAGGGATAATTCTAAGTTTATCTAACAGTGTTCATCTCAGGTTGTTTCATAAATGCTGGCAACAATCTATAGGCAGACACTGGAATTTAATGCCCAACAGTTTGTACAGGTGAGCGGCAACAATACAAACTGTCCGCAGAGGGCAACCAGCATCGCCAGTGACCCAACACACCTCTCTCACCACCCTCCTTACCCTCCCACCCGCCGGATGTCGCTACAAAGAGTTTCCCTCACAGAACCATCAGCCAAATTAACCAGACAAGAAGCAACAAACTCAATATGTACAGTATATCTCTATTGTATATATTGTTATATCATAATTTAATTTGTTTGTTGGATTATTATATGTAGCATTAGGCCTTGTGTCTGTAGCTTCTGTAATAGACTCTGAAAGCCTGCAACAAGTGGGTATGGAAAATGAATGAATGAATGAATGAATGAATGAATGAATGAATGAATGAATGAATTAATGTAGGGTTGGTGGAGGAGTAGAATGTACAGTTTCATTGTACATGCCCAATGACAATAAAGATATTCTAATGTAAAAGTAATTTCAACAGTCCTGAAGAAATTTTATTCAAGCTAAGATGATGTTGAGGACATTTGTTTTGGTAGCTGCAGCCCAATTTTAGTGAACTGGAACATTAAGAAGAGTTCGTAGCTGGCCTACACTCAGTAACTCAGTAACTTTCATAAGCACAAATATTCAAAACTTGTTGAGAGGACAATTCATCTGGCAGACAGTATTGACTGGGGTATTCTGACTAGTCTGCTGCCATAAGAAGGTTATAAATGGGTCATAAGTGAATGAAGGTAAATAAAGTCACTGAGCAATAAAACAAAGTGGGATAAAATCGGCCTCTTGAGTTTCCCAAGGGCTGTGTGGAATGATGTACCTCCACTGCACAGTACAGTGTTTAAGCCAGTGGCAGGGGACAATGCGTAAACATCCTGCATGATTTTCCTTCTTCGAATGTGCTTGTTCTTGGTAACTCCTGAGATTTGCTGGAGAACTAAGGGGTCGATTTGAATGTTGACATTTTTCAACCCCAGTCATATTTCTACAAGGGGAAAGGCTGAGATAAATAAATGGCAAACTAAAATGGCAGCCGTGTCCCAGGGCATGTCATGTGACATGTCATGTGATTGCTTTGCAGGCCTGGATTCTAGCAGATCAAGAAGAGCTTTAATAAACAATTCAGGCTGCAGTGAGCATTAAGTAGGATACAGTCTCACTCTTACCTCTCTGCCTATTTTACATAGGAATACCCGGGATACATTTACCATTTGCAGTGCACTCCTGTCTGTTTCCTTTCTGCTGTAATATTGAAAAGGCTATTCACTGCTGTAAAAAAAAGACTTTATCACACATGATGCTGGGGTCAATTACATTTCTGAGCACATAAATACAGTTTTATTGATTTAAAATTTATGAATCTCCAACTATTGCACTGGCCAAGAACATAATATGGTTCCCTGGAATATGATGGTGGACAAACTGTTGGAGTGAAACATTTAGGGTCCTTCTGTTCCTTGTCACTGGACACAATAATAGGACGGGATGCAAGAGAGTTATATCTCACACCCAGACTGTGGATGTGTTCCTTCCGGCAAGGTCGAAGATGTGGCCGCCATGCTGAGTGCCACATTACCTCTAAAGTGAAAGTAGCTCAGCTTAACCTTAGTTATGTTAGCTTTCTGTTCTTATCTCTTATGTTAAACGGGTCGGTGCCGACCCGTGTCTTACATCAGCCATAAGATACCTTCAAAACAATTATTTATCATCCAATTTGTTTCTTACCTCTTGGTTACCTTGTTAGGCTTCCTTATCCATGAAAAGATTGGTTTTAATATTTTTTGGTGTGGCTTTCTGGAACTTTCTTTTGACAGCATACCTCTCGTTTTCAATTAAAAAACAATGGTAAAATAAACTTTTATTTAACAGTTTCTTTTATTTTTATTTAGAGAATTATATAAATAAACTGAATTGGTCTTACCTTGCCTTACCTGTCTGGGCAAGCCTTGCCTAGTGAGTTTACTTTTTATTTTTTTTCGTTTAAATAGAGGTTCCTGAGAAAGTCAAAAAGCCTTGATGCAGTACACAAACTTATGTGGTGCTTTTATGCATTGCAAACTCACAAACGGGTCTGTGCCGACCCCAACACGACAGCAAGGTTAAGCTGGTACTTCTCTTTCAGTCAAGGGACAATCTGAGGTCACTGGCAGCACTGTATGTTGAACTCCAGTTAGTTATGCTTATCCTGCAGTCTGACCGGCAGTTCGCAGTGACAATAATGCAGATTGCTTGTTTTGAGTGTCGAGAATGAATAACACATGTAATGGGAAGTCTTGGCCCGTCAGATATATGGTCCTGCAGCTGTCACTGTTCTTTGCCAAGGACACATGCTAATGTTCTAAGCTTTGCTGTGCTGGATGGCAGCACCCGTTCTCCTGTCAAACTACTTACCCGCTTTTACAGTTGCGGCAGATGGCACCAGATACAGGGTGAAGGACATGATCTTCTGAAGATGAAGTCCTTGGAGTATTTCCTCCTTTCCAACCTTCAAAAGGACAACAACCTGAATTACTTAAGAAATCAGTGTGTACAATACACTTTGTCAATTTCCTTAAGTTGTCGACTCAGTATATAGATAGACTGACTGAAGGATAGGCATAACGTTGTCTCTATGTGTGTTGTATACTGAATGAAAAGAAATGGTTTAAATGTTTCAGCTTTTAACCAAAATACTTTCAAGCACCATAATCAGAAGTGCTGTTGTGACCTTCAATCGCTAAAGATAATCAACATAAACTATTCAGTAAATCTTGTATGAAATACTCAATCCATCCATCCATCCATCTTCTGTAACCATTTATCCTATTCAGGATCATGGGGGGTCCGGCGCCTATTCCAGAGGCTACGAGCACAAGGCAGGGAACAACCCAGGACGGGGCGCCAACCCATCGCAAGGCTCACTCACACACCATTCACTCACACACCATTCACTCACACACCAT